TATATATTTTGTATTATTATTTTTTATTCTAACTTATGTTGAGGTTAAACTCTGGATACAAAAGCTTTGGTGTAGCACTAGTACAGTGGTGTAGCACAGGCAGCCCAGAAGCCTTGGACCTCAAGCTACTCCCCTGCTCCTCCTCCGAGGTGTTTGATTGACAGCTCTTTCTGTTTGGCATGCACGAAGTGAAAGAGTACAATATATATTTTAACTTCATTCTACAAGACAGCATCGTCTTGCAGAACTGGCCTATTATGTTTGTATTGGGCAATTTATAACTATATGGAGGGTTGAATTAGATCTTGATTGTGCATGCGGACATAATGCCTGGTGATCTTGCCATGAAGGTCCTTGTTCAGACACTTGTCACACAGGCTTACAATGGAGACTACAAGTGGTCATTTCAACGCACATCAACAGGCTGCCAAAATTTTGCAGGAATAGAAAGTAATAGGAAAATAGCTAAAGTTTAAGTGTCTCTAGTGGGGTAACTATAGCCATAGCAGCCTAGGCAACTGCTATGGGACCTAGGGGTTGAAAGTTGTTGGGGCAAATTAAATACAGAACAGGTAACGATAATACAGTACTGTATTATTAAGGGTCGGGGTGGTTGCATTTGACTCTAATGCCCTGTAAAGTCTACAGACCACTGCAAATGCACAAAAGGAGTCTTTAAGATCTTGGCATCCTTACTCACAGCTCAGAGAGAGGTCATCAGGGCCCCCATCACATTATTGCTATAGGTCCCTGCGAACTGTAGCCCTCAACGCCTCTGTTGCAAATTTTAATTTTAATTTCTCTACAGTGAAGTTTAGTAATCACAATCTACAAACAGATACTTCTAGATCATTGCCGGCTTCTCATTCTTTGCATATCTTATTTCTCTTTTCCTCCCCATTCTTTTCACAGTGGCCATTTTTACTAAGGGCAGATTAATATATCTCCCTTTACTTCCTGGAACTCTGGCCCATGTGACTAGGACATGTGACCATGCACATCATCTCAGGGGAGGAACATGCCTTTCCCTGGGATTTCATGAGATTACAGATATTTCCCAGCAATGTTCTGCTGATGTAACCTTCCCAGGATGCAACACTTGGGCACAGATTACATCACTTTTGCTAAAGAGAACCAGGAAGTGGAAAAACAGTAATTGTAAGTAATACATGTAAGATGTTTTCATATCCGCACGCAGAGGTGAATGCTGAGGTGATTTTTAGCTAAAGGGGGTCGAGGTCCACTTTAATACTGTAAAGTGCACAGTCTGGCCACAGATTTACTTTATGGTGTCTGATCTGCACTATTGCCTAAAGGAGAAAACACCTTCAGACTCATCTGGGCAGAGCTGATGATAAGACTTGAATATTGACTTCACGATCAATAAAACTTATTAGAAAACATGCACAGCGGATCAAAAGCCTTTAAATGAAAGGCTGTCAAAACTGAGGGAGAAATTCACTATTCCAAGCACAACCGTTCAGGACTGTCATAAAGTAATTTCCTATTCAGTATCCACATCTATATCAAGCTGCATAAGTTGAAAAAGAAATAATGTATGCATTAAAGGAGGCCAGAACATATTTCTCTCTGTAGTGTACACAGTGATATGGAGTTTTCAGCTTCCAGAAGATGACTTCTAAAGGTGAAAGACATGAAGAGTCTGTATGATGAAAAGTAGATAGTTCCACATGTCTTCATCGCCAGCCAAGACTGTGTCTGGATGACTCAGATGCATTCTCTTTGGGTCAGCATGGGCAACATACTATTTTAGATGTCCACTGAATAAGTCTGTATATATGAATATGTGAAAAGACAGATGGATAAAGAAAAAGAAAAGGAAAGAAAGAATAGATAGATAGATAGATAGATAGATAGATAGATAGATAGATAGATAGATAGATAGATAGTCAATAAAACAACTGATTGCTAACTGCATTACCAACAGGAGACATTAGGTGGCGCTACACCGTTAAAAATGCCACTTAGACTCTCAAATGCCCGGGTCTGGATTGTGGTAAGTGGAAATGCATCTTATGTATGAGTGTATTACATCCCATTAATCATATCTTATATAGAAATGGTGAAGTTAATTTTAATTAAACCATAGCTTTTTTGTCCAGCTGAAGGTTATTCAGTGTTTAGTTAATAGTACTTCTTCTTTTGTGTTTTATTTTTTTATTCGTTGGGATATTTTTAATCCTTAAACAAGATGACTCATTTGTGAATAGTACAAGACGAAAATGTTGTCGGTGTGTTAAACAGTCTTTGCAATTTTGTATAAAAACACATTAGAATTTACATTTATTGCAAAGGAGCATTCTATGGGGTAGGTTAATTAATTCTGAGATACCTGTAGGGGGTGGGGCTTCAAGTATGGGTGAGATTTAGAGTTAATAGGAAGTATTGATGAATTATTTATGAATTATAATTATTAGGATTGATTATATTAATAATATTTATTTTAAGTAATTTATTGATTATTTATATTATGAAGCATTTTATAGGTGGGTCGGATGAAAGAAGGAAAGTAGGATGAAGGAAGGAAGGAAAGAAGGATAGAAGAAAGGAAGTGAATCAAAAAGAAAAGCAAATATGTAAATAAAAGAAAATAGAAGTAAAAAGATGGGAAAGGAAACCAAAGAAAAGTAAAAAAGAATACAAAGTAAATAAAGGAAAGGAAAAAAGAAGAAAATAAATGGAAAGGTGAAAGGAAAAAGCAAAATAAAGAAAAGAGGAAAGGAGAGGAAAGGGAAAGAGCAGAGAAGGGGAAGGAAACACAATGCATTTAAAGTATAGAGAAGGAAAAGGGAGAGAAAGAAAAAAGAAAGGAAAGTGAAAAGGAGAATAAAAGGATCGGGAATGAAAGCATATGAAGCAAAAGGAGGAAGCAAAAGAAAGAAAAGAGGAAAGCAGATGAAAGGTAAAGAGCAGAAACAGGGAAGGAAACAAAGGGAATGGAAAGGATAGAGAAGACAAGTGAAAGAAAAGAGCAGGGAATGGAAGAGAAGGGAAAAAAAGAGAAAGGAATGGAAAGGATAGGAAAGGAAATTAAAGCATGGAAAAGGAAAGGAGGAAGCAACAGAAAGAAAAGAGAACAGGAGAGGAAGGGGAATGAGCAGAGAAAGGAAAGGAAACAAAATGAATGGAAAGGATAGAGAAGAAAAGGGAAAGGAAAGAGCAGGGAAAGGAAGAAAACAAAAAGAAAAGAGAAAAGAAAAGAAAGGATAGAGGAAAGGGAATGAAAGCATAGGAAGGGAAGCAACAGAAAGAAACGAGAACATGAGAGGAAAGGGAAAGAGCAGAAAAAGGAAAGGAAACAAAAGAAATGTAAAGGATAGAGAAAGAAAAGGAAAGGAAATAGAAGGAAAAGGAAGAGAGAAAAAAAAGAAATGAGAAAGGAAAGGAGAAAGAAAAAAAGAAGGGAAATGAAAAGGGGAAGAAACAAAGGGAAAGGGAAAAGGAAAGACAAGGAAAGAAAAGTAAGGAGATGCAAAATGGAAAGAAAGTATACGTAAAGTAAGCGGACAGAAAGAAAGAGAATGGAAATTAAGGGTAAGTAAAAGGTAAGAGAGTACAAATGAAGAGAAACAAAAGAAAGAGAAGGTTAATTGAGGGGAAAGTAAGGGAAGGGTAAACTGATGGAGTAAGAAAAAGAGAATTAAAAAGTAAGAGCTTTCCTGTACAGTGTTTTACAAGTTGTCTACGACATATGCTGTCTTTTTCAATACGGCAAATGTAAACATAGCTCTTTAGAACAATGTGAACGTGCATGACATTATACATAACTGACATAGCTCTGTTTTCATCTCAAACAAAAATATTCACAGCTTTAAAATCAGTGTTTTGTTTTTACATTTTCTTTGTGTACGTAAAATTCAGCAGTTTCTAAGAAAAAAAATTTAACTTGCCAGGGCACATCGGTTCGTCGCCGCAGTTTCACAATATGTTAGTATATTTAATTGAATTAATTTAAAAGTTAAATCATTTGAATCTCTCCATGGAGCAAATGAAAGGGCATGCAAGTTTTTTGATGTTCAGTTTAAAGTACAGAGGAGCGCAGAGGGTGGCAGGTTCAGTTAAAGGGTTTGGTTGCCTCGGTCATGTTTTATGGATGCACGCTTATACACGTTTCAGAATTTTCGGGCTACAACAAATTTGCGCTTTGGTTCCTACACTTGCAGGCCTCAGAATATGGCCCCCAAAATTTGCATTACTGAACAAACGCTCCGGACTTCACAGGGTTTCATCACCTCAGATGTAGTGACAGCTCTCACCATTGGTGATTGATTCTAATGAAAGTTTACACATTGTGCAAGGAAACACCATCAAACATTTATGTCTCGGGGTTAGTTATAGTGCGCATAGACAATTATTTCACGTAGCTGCAGAGTGCGTTTCTTTTACTTTTTAATGGGTCAGTGCTTTTTAATATTCTCGGGGATAAATTAAAAATGAGATTGTTAAAAGTAAAGTCGTTTTGAACATTTTAGCTTTTATTTCTTTGGTAGTGCCGCCAAAGCTCAAGAAAATATTTGACGTTTTCATTGCGTTCTCCCTTCCTAATATAAATCTTATATATGGAGGCCAATTATCTGCCAGAGTTCTTCATTTTTGGTGCAGTTCTGGAACAACTGACACATGTTTTTTTTAGGCGCAAAGACGTTTCTACATATTTTGAATCAGTTTCTTGCCCATATCCAATATAGCGTCAATAATATGGCTTTCTAAAAGGACTGTATGGTGACCCCATTCTCTCATCAGGTGAGGTGGTCCTTTATGCGTTTAGATGTTTTGTAGCAACATCTGAAACTTTTCTAGCAGTCCCGCAGGGTTTTCAGGAGCACTGTGCCTAGACATGTGCCACCTGCCGTTCCATATTGAAAATGTAGCTCAGGCATGCTCAAGAGTGCCCGTGTCATCAACAAGCATCAAATGGAAAATATGGTAGGTAAATGGAGACGGTGCTTTAGCCAAAAAGCCTCTCGTGTTCCTATGGTGAGCTTTAGCTCTTTGGTCATTCACCAGTAGTCTTCTCTTTTTTTTCCTTTGCCTGTCCTAAAATGTGCCGGTCTTATGACTCTCTTTGAACATATGCTGTCTTGATGTATGCCTAGCTTTGCCTAGAGGCCTCCTGACCTGGCCAAAACTCCTTTGCAGACAACACACCTGCCTGTTGACTTAGCACATTGCTACATTTATCTGCCTCCACATCAGCTATTGCCCATGACTCATACCTGTCCTGACTTGTGCGCATATTGGGACTCTGAATGTTGGCCTGTCCTCATTTTTTTACAGACAATGCTCCTACGTGACAACTTAGTATGTCACCAGTGGGACAAACCTTGCGGCCACAACCTTGGGCATCAGGCAGAAAAAAGCCATAGCTCCTTGCAGGGTTTCTTGGTGAATACAACATGCTTCTATGCTTTCTGGAACTCACGTTACAACCTAGAGACAAAGAATATCCAGGGAACCAGAGAGGACTATGACTCACTAGCAAGCCTTAGCAGAAAAAATTCAGGACCGGATCTCTTAAAAACAGTCTCCGGTAAGAAGTTAAACTCTTTCCACAAGGAAAGGTGTTGGGTGATTTACGGCCCTCATCTCATTAGCTTTCACTGCATATCTAAATGCTGCGTGAAATCTGAGCCCTTATCTTAAATTAGCATGAGTGTTCATTCAGCTCTATGAGTGTCTCAGCCAGACAATTTGGATTTGTTTTTCCAAACAAGATTATGGAAGTTTTCAGACTTTCTGCAATGGCTTTCCCCAAGTGGCAAAACTAAAAGAATAAATAAATAAATAAATAAATAAATAAATAATGGCTAAACAAAGAGGATGTAAAAAAAAAAACCCATAAAAAAATCAGTAAACCAGTTCCTACCTTTCGGCGTCCTGAAGGGTATGGGATCGGAGAGGGGTCCCAGTCCTTTGGCATTGCGAGCTTGAATTCGGAAGTAATAAGCGGTGTCCAAATTGAGGTCGAGGATCTCGTGGGTCAGCCTGTCGCCGCTGATCGCCTCCATGACCCAGTCATCGATCTGGAGGTTTTTGTCCAAGGTATAGAACAGGATATATGCTAAAGGTAAACAAAAGATATATATTGTGACAGTTTTAGGAAAACATTTTAAGCAGGCCATGAATTATTAATGCTGCCGGGTCTTGCATTATGTATTTGTAGCTACAGTATCAAAATCATAACAAATTATTCTTTCAGCGTGGTAAGTGCCAGCCTCCATCACTTCTCATTACGCCGAACCATACAGGCTACAACTTCGCTGCACATTGCTTACATGCCAGCTTCAGCTTGGAATTTTAAAGGTAACCTGTACCGTGATAAACATGGAGGCTGACCTTATATCTGGGCAAAAAAGGAAAAAGATACGTAGTACATCGCTGCAATATCTACATGTTCAGTCACAAAACACTCACTCTGAAATCCCAAGCAGTGTCTTGGGATTTCTCCCCTGTTGGACTACAGAACACTTGCCTCATCATCATCTCGATAACCAGGGCTGTCCCTAACCTGTATGCCACCTGAGGCCGTAGAGTGGGGGGATAGGGGTGCTTGGGGATGCTCTTAATAGTGCTTAGGGGGGTGGGATGTGTTGGTTGTTGCTGATAGTGCTTTCGGGTATTAGAGGAGGCCAGAGGGTGGTGTTAGAGCTATGCCTGTCAACGGCTCTCTGTCCAGTCCCAGTCTCACCCAGTCCATTCCTGACTTTACTACTGCTGCAGGAACCTTTGGTTGACCTGTGTTACATTCCTCCCTTGCTTACCTGTCATCATGCAAAAATCACACCTGTAAGTGTAATTATTTTTTTAATTTGTTTATTAAATTAAATATCTTACACCATGCCAGTGCACAATTTTTTGTCTTTGTTTTGCAGAGCTTTGAAGAGCAGAAGGCACAGGGTGTTAGGAGTTTATTGGCAGAATCAACAGGTATGCTTCTGGGCTTGCAGCGTACATATTTCCTGTTACCACGAGTTCCTGTGACAACTCTAACATTTTGGATTTCCCATCACTTCCTGCACTGGAGGCAATGATCACCAAAATGTTGACTTGACCAAATGATAGCGCCGAGTTGGCAAAGAATAGAAACAGTAAACGTGCAATAGTATCTGCACCCTAGCAGGCTGCCTCTTCCACCTGCGAGTCATCCCAGCCTAGCGCCCATTTCTTCTGGAAATCTTTTGCTTGCGTTTGTTTCCTCTGTACCCCAGCATACAAGATGAACAAAATGAACCTCTCCTTTGTATGCTTGCCTGGAGTTCTCATGTAACTTAGTAAGATAAAATAAATGATCCCACTTGTTGAAATTTGTGTAAAAGTACAAAACAGCTGTAGATATTGCCGTTGAAATATCTCCAGGCGCCCACACAGCGTCTATTGTTGCATTTCTGAAATGTTTTCAAAGGCTGATAAAAAGCCTAGAACTGTGTAATTTTCCCCAGACATATTATCATGTTTATGCATTATGAGATTAAGTGGTGTTTGATTAACGTCTTCTGGTAGAACAGAGCAACAGCAGATCTTGTCTTGAATATCTCATGTACTTTACTGGTAAAAGGAACTTTACTATTCTCTTAAAGGACGAGGCAGAATATGGGAACAAGCGAAGTATTGCTAAGGGTTAATACCAGAGCTGTCCCTATAATGAGGCAGCCTGAGGTGGTTGCCTCAGGTGGCATGTCTTTGGGTTAAAAAATACTACAAATGTTTTCATTATTTAGGGTTTAGAAACTCTTAGGGGGTTATCCCCTATTGAGCCGGAGGATCCAGCTGTAGCTTCGGCTGATCCTTCGGCTTTCTTCGGCCGCAGGAGCCCTTCGGTTCAGTCGAACCGAAGAGCTGCTGTATGGGCTATTCACACCGAAGGCGGCTGAGCGGATCAGCCGAGCCGAAGGCATATGCTTCAGTTCGACTGAGCCGGAGTGACAGGCGAAGTGGTTGCGAATGGCTATGAGAATAGGGATGAATGGCAGCGAGTGAGCTGCCGGAGCTTCGGCTCAGCTGATCCAGATGTTGGATCGGCTGAGTCTCATGCCCTCTGCACTTCAGCTCAGCCAAACATGCAGAGCATGTTCAGCTGACCGAAGGCAGTCGCACAGAGCTGATGTACGGCTGATTTCAGCCAATGTACGGCTGAAATCAGCCGTACTGAGCCGGAGTGACAAGTGGAACCTCATTCGGCTCTGTTCACTTCGGCTCGGTTATATTATAATACGTACTCCCCCCAGTATTCACCCCAGCATGGTATATTCACATTGCACATTGCCTCCTTGCTACAGCAGTCCACCCTGGGTAAGATCTGGTGTTGGAAATTACCTGGTGGATGAGGTCACTGCCCCCTTCCAAGTGACAATGTTCAGGCCTAATGATTGGCTGTTAAGGGCCGAGCACTGGCACATTGGTAGGTCACATGCTTTCTCATACAGAAAGGGCTCCAACAGAGTAGGGAGGAGGTGAAGGGGAGTGGGAGTTGCCTGGGGTGGGGGTTTATAAAGAGTGACTGGAACCTATTTACTAAAGGCAAATAATCTATTCAGTTAGCAAGGGAATTTTCTGGTAGCTTAGTGAATGAGGTGAGACATGGTTGACTTCCATCATCCAATGAAGTGCAAGCAAAAATACTGTTTTCTTTTTTTTTTTTTCTTGAACACGATTGGGTATTCTTTGCAAAGTGAATTTTCACCACGCTCACTAAGCTAAGCAAACATTTTCTTGCAAAGTGAACAGCCTATCTGCCATTAGCATATCAACCCAAATGTCACTTACAGTATCGCTGAATGTGCAAGGTAACCGTGTCTATTCAGATTTGAATGCACATTTGCCTCTTTATTTATCTGTACAAGGTTTGCCTGAGCTGAGGGACCCTCAGAGGTCAGGCAGTCAACAGGAAAGCAACTATGAAAAATCAAGAGGGGGGCATTCATCTATTACTGAAAGCATAGCAGTTACCAGTTGATCAACAGCAATCCCACCTAAGTAGTCAGGAGATAGCATGGAAATGATTTGCAGAGGCCCACAATAATGCTTTGCCATAAATATAGAGGAGAGGCTGTGCTACATGAACCAGTGGTAGACAGGGCCGGCCTTAGGCCTTTAGGCGCCCTGTGTCTCCCCCTCACCGCTCCGCCATCCTGACAGCAGGCAGCGCTCCCTCCTGCGCCCGCCCCGAAGTGGGGGGGCGGACGAGGGAGCGCTGTCATATCGGATGGCCAGCGGTGAGGGGGAGAGAAGCCGCCCACAGGACGAGCTGTGACGGACGCACGGCGCCCTTGTTGCCATGGCGCCCTGTGCGGCCGCTTGGCTCGCACACCCCTAAGGCCGGCCCTGGTGGTAGATACCCTGCAGCATGCAAAGAAGACATTTCCTTTTCCTGCACCTACGCACATAAGCATAGCGCAAAAAGGGAAGTAAAGGGTGAATAAAGAAATCTGCAGAGCAAGCAAACATATACACTACCAGTAATCTTGCCGTTGGCTTCGATTGGTGGCTGCCAGCTGACTATAACAGCTCGAGGCTTCCGTTCCCTTGTGATAACTGTTAAGTCCTTCGGGGCAGATGTTGGAGCTTGAAGTGTGGAAGAGAGAAAAAAAAAATAGTTGGCCAAGTAGGAAGTATAAATTAACATTACGACAATCTAGGTGCTGGTAGCACTTACGATCATAGCGGAGGGAATCATCAGGAAAATTCACACGTACAATTTTGACATCTTGACACTCTTGTGCCCCAGTGTTTTCTTTTACTATTATAGGAGTTAAACTCTGACATGAAAGGAATAAATGTGTTGAACGTCTATAACAATATTCATTTACCCTGATTCTTTTATGGAGTGCGGATAGGAGCCGGTACAGTATAATGTAGACATTTACAGTACACACTTATATCTACAGTTCCACGACAGCCAAAGAGACAGATTTCAAGAGATAAGCTGAATTCACAAAGTTGTTCTTTACTTGGTACCAGACATTATGTAGTTACATCTTTAAAGTGACACTAAACTCAAATAGGGTGTTTACATTTCAAGCAGATTTCCTGCTCATTTAAAACCGCCCACCCGCATCCAAGAAGCCACCGTCTGGCAGTTTAATTACAATGGCCGGACAGCAGGTGGTTAAGTGGCGTATCAATATACTTCAATGGAGGCATTTGTCCAGTGGCAATGCCTCCAGAACACGATATGCACTCTATTTTTTAACCCACAGCAACACAACACTAAAGCCCATGTGTGAACTGTACTGGGTGGTTGCTATTGCATTATCTTACATAAGCGTTAATAGGTGGCAGGAAGGCTTTAAAAACGCTTCTGTAATGCCTGATTTTAACACACGTGTGAAAGAGGCCTTAGGCTCACTGTAGGCTCTACTGCTATCCAACACTTCCTGGTGTGTCAGAGTGCTCTTTGTTAGGCACCGTGTTTCCTCTCACCGGCAGCTACATCACCACGGGAGCTCTTTAAGTGAAGCTTTAACACCCCACACAGGGACAGGGTCACTTTAATTCACACGTTCTAGGCCATATAACAACTTTAATTAGCCTGCTCTGTATTTGGTCGTGTTTCACCACAACTTGTACTGTTATAAATCTGTCAGCATTATTTTAACAGCCACTATGGTAAAATCAATGTCAATTCACAAAGGTTACAGCGCAGGTTATCATTCCTTAAAATACCGCTAGCCTCAGGCTGGTGATAACTGGGAGTTTCAATAGGTGTCCATTGAGGAAAGCAGAAAAGATAGCCATTTAAGGTGGCCTTGATTTATCAAGCTCCAATAGCATTAAAAGCTCCATAAAGCCCAATGCTGTATTCGTTTCAGCAAAAAATAGTTATTTGAATTGAGGCTGCGTAAAAACTGAGCTTTTGTAATTTTAGTATTGGCTTCTTTATAATTCAGCCCCCAGCACCAGCCGAACATCTCGAGTCTGGTATTACACCGCAAAGAAGGAGCACTGCCCTCTGCTTGGTAGCAGTGGTCTGCCTGCAATAGTCTGACACCCCTCCTGCTCACTAAAGCTGGCCATATGCCTATAGATTATCTGCAGATTTTCTATGGCCAGATGGAAAAAGTGCAACAGATTCCTCCGTCTACGCTAAACTGTGTGGATTGAGAAATCTCCCACTGGGCCAAGCTTCAGTATCTTGCTAGTCGGCCCCGCTGGCTCTCAAAACACCTGAACAATGCCTGCATCCAATCAGATTGTTTAGGTATTTTGTGGAAGAGTCCTCTATCCACACAGTTTAGCATAGATAGAGGAATCTGTTGCACTTTTTCCATCTGACCATAGAAAATCTGCAGATAATCTATAGGTGTATGGCCAGCTTAAGACATGCTCCCTGCTGATTGATCTCTTCACTCAGCAGGGAGCATGAGCGTTGCTGATTGCAGAGCTGTAGTTACAACAATGCAAATCTAAACAGTATAATTTACAAAGAACTTCTGAAATCAACAAATGCAACAAATTCTTGCAATTGTTTGATAGTATGTTCACTTATGTTTAAAAAGTTAAAAAAAAAAATGCTCCTTTAGTGTCCAATCCACAGGTTGGGGGGTGTTCCTGACCAGGCTTCGCTATAGCTAAAGTTGGGGTCGTTGACCTGACTGAACTTTCTAGCAGCAGATCACAAGACTAACTGCATAAAACTACAATTACTTTAGCAATAACAACATCTAACAGATATGAATTTTAACGGGGCACTTCTTGCAGTTTTAAACCTTCAGGTATAATGCCATATAAGAGGAGCAATGACATTCCAAGGTGCACAGCAACAGAAAAGGGAGCAAGATTTTGCCACTGGAAATATAAGAAGCTAGTTGGTGAATCACAGCGGGCTCCAATTATTTTTTCATGCAACTGCACTGACCCTAGCCAGTATATGTTTTTGTTCATTTATTTGCTTTTACCTGTCTCATAGGTAGTGGCGTGCGCGGTCATACTCCAGGTGCTCGATCGTCTTCCTTTAGTGACCATGACTGAAAACTCATACATTGTGTTTGGCTTGAGACCCGTGGCGGTGTGGCTTAAAGCTGTTGTATCGGCAGACTGATAGAAAAAAGAAGACACAATCAATTCACAAATAAAATATTAATACACAAAACTGAAACCTAAAGTGACACTAAACTCAAGGACCTTAACAATTAACAAAAATGTATCTTATTTGTGTATCACTCGGCTGTAGATCCTCAAATCATCTCTGAATTGGTGCCAACACTGTCCTTCCTTCTGGAGGGTGAATACTTTTGTTCCCCATGGTCCCTGTTTATGTTGTAAAGTAGCCACCGCTCCAAGATCACTCCTGTGATAGACTACAATGTCAGTACAAATGAGTAAACTAAAAGTTTACTTCAAGTTTTTTTTATTTATTTTCTTTTTTATGGTGGCCAGACTTGCTAAAAAGAAAGATCTTTTATCCTCTATGTTTTTATTTCCTTGTTCTCAAGTGGTATCCAGACCGCAAGCACCACCCCTCCGTACATTTGCTAGCCGACTGCTGTGGAGGCACCCATATGTGCATGGCCACGGCCATGGCTGCACCTAGCTGTGTGCAACTATGGCTCCTCTGCCCTCAGTACCCCACAACCAGTAAGTCTGGGGAAACCCATGTGTCTTCCCGGTCATGGCGGAGGAGACGAGTGGCTGCAGATAAGTGTGGGGAGGACAGGACTGTTACAAAAGTGCTGGGTGTTTTTTTGCCTTGATGCAGAGAATACTTTAAAGCAAAAAACACCCAGCCTTTAATACTAATTTAAAGTAGAAGACAAACTAATTTTTTTCTTTTTTTTATCAAGTTGGGAAGGGTGAGATTCTGCTCACTTTCAGTTCACTGTGGCATAGCAGGAAGTGAAGGTCCTGCAATCACCCACCCAATTACCTACCCAAGGCAACAGGGTCACAGACATTAAAGAAAAATCTAAACTTAGGTTCAAACCTTTCCCACTTTACTCAAAGCTGAAAAAGACATTGCAGCTGGGGTTATACATTAAAACTATTATATATATATATATATAAAGGCATCAAGTAAAAAAAATGAAAGCAGGGATCAAAAAGACTCCTTGATCATCAGTTGGTTTCTCCTGCCATTGTAAACACAACGTACCTTGTATTTTGAGCTGGTTGAGTAGCTAGTTCTCCATCGTATGGTGTAGAAACGGACCTCTGCTGTCTTCTGGTTCTTTAGGACAGAGTTATCCGCCCAGCTGACCCTCACGGCATCGTGCGTTAACGCCACTGCCTGAACACCTACTGGTGGAAGCATGGGGGTGGACATTTCTGGGACGGAGGTGGGGAAATCATCAATAAAAGGATAAAACTCAATTTCTGAGGGATCCAGGGGGTCTGGATAATCATGCAGCAAATTAAAATAAAAGTCACACAGCAAAGAATAACACAATGGGTTAAATGCAACATAAAAGGTGAAGAAAGGTGTGAGAGAGAAGAAAAGAAATAACAAATTATTTATGTTTTATTTATGTTATTCTATAGATTCAACTATATAATACTATCATTATATACTGTTATATAACATTATATCAACAATATATAATGGCATA